ATTGGTTGTGTGGGTGGGGGGGTGGGGGGGGGGGGGGGGGGCGGGGGGGTTCTCGTCAGGAGGGTGACTTTTTCTTCTTTTTTTTTTTTTTTGCTTTTTGGAAAAGATGGGTGAATAAATGACAGAAAAATACTACTTGGCATGTGACATTCTGCTTCATGTGTGTGTGTGGGTTTTAAAAAGAACAACATGAAAGGAAATCATAAACATTCATCATCAAGTGCTGACCACACAGAATCTCCACAGCATGGGCATGAGGTCAGATCAGTACAGAGAAACAACAAAGATGCGACATCTACAACAGCATTGAATGGAAAAGACACATTATGTTGATATTTAATAACCTCTCACCCGCCCCCCCCCACGAACAATAAAGTACACCCAAATAAAAACAACGTCCCTCCCGCCCGCTATGGAATCAAACCAATGAGAAGTGTTGAAGGCTGTGACAATGAACAGAGAACCCGCGCTCGCTTCCTTCTCGCATACACACACCTACACTCACACGGTGTAAATTAAACGTCAGTCATTCTCTCTCTCTTGAGTTTGTGGTCAGATGTGTGTGTCTGAGAGAGAGAGAGAGAGACAGACAGAGAGAGAGAGAGAGTGGGCGGGGGAGGGACGCAGCACCCTCTTGCAGTCCACTGAGTGCAGTCCGTCCTGGCTGCGCGGGGAGGGTCTCTGACTGCGAACACGTCGGCCCCCCCTGTACCAAACAAGTCCATCCCACGCACGAGTAGAAATGAAGTTTCACTTTTTAAGCTTTACTTAAAAGTAGAAAGAAAGAAAAAAAAGAATCCCTCACGTGGGGTATTCTGTGTTTGTGTGTGTGTGTGTGTGTGTGTGTGTGTGTGTGTGTGTGTGTTCTTGCTGTGTATTGTAATGGCACTAAAAAAGTGAACTCGGGAGACATTTGCGAGCTGTCATCAGTGGCTGAGACTGCAGTTCAGTGTTTGTTATCTGCGGAGCGTTTCGGTCTCCCAGATGACCCAGACTGCCTCTGCCTCTGAGGCTTGGGGGGAACGGGGGAGGAGGAGGAGGATGGGGGGGGGGGGGGGGCAGAGCTCGCCTTACAGCATGTCGTCGTGGCCCTGGTCGTCGTCGTAATCTCTGTGGTGATGATCGAAATCCGGACTGTGATTGGCGGTCGTTACCAGAGAGAGGGGCCCTTCGTGGTCCTCGGGGTCCAGTGGTTCCTCCTTAACGCTGATGTGGTGCCTGGACGAGGAGGAGAGAGCAAAAAAAAACAATATGGCTCCAGTTCCTCTGTCCTTAACTCTCTCAGAGCCTTTCTTTTCTTTCATAACCTTTCACACATGCAAAACAAGCAACGAGACAGACCTGTGCTGATTCAGTGTATAGAGAAAGAAACAGGGGAACAAAAACAAATGTCTGGCTGCAATGAGACCGTGAGTGGGGGCCTCACTGGTGCTGATGATAATTTCAGCTTTCTTTTGAGGTTTTCCAATCCCGGCGATTTTTTTATATTTTCATGGCAACTGACAACAGGGTATTCACTTAGAATTGATAAATGAGGAAGATTGACAACGTGAGACGAGGAGAGGAGAGAATGGACTCTGCGGAGCGAGTGGGTTGCCGTTGTCAGCCTCCTGGTGGTGGCGGATCAGCGGCGTGCTGTGTGTTCCCCTTCCTGCTCGTTAACATGCACAACCTGCGAGGCGGGTCTCCAGAGGACGACCCCGAGCCGGCTTCTATCATTAATCAACTTCAAGCAAACACAGCGACCAGACACCGCCGTACATGCTTTAAACTCCAGAATTAATGCATATTTTCAACCGAGTGTCAATAAGGGAAGAAAAGCGCTGGCAGGAGAGGCGCGCGAGGAGAGCGGCGGGGCGGGCGCTTTCGGCACAACACCGTGATAAGAAACAGAGCCCTTATGAGAATAATAACGCTGTCACTTGTAAACAAGGCAAAAACACGAGGCCCCCCCCCCCCTTCCTCCAAGCTCACAGCCTGGGCAAAAGAGCCACTAAAGAGATGAGATCTGCCAAATTTCTCATTACAGAAACAGAGCAGGGATAAAGCAGGGGGGGGGGGGGGGGGGCCTGGCTGTTGCAGAGAGGAGGAGGAAAGAAAAGGAACATTATGAGCAGCTGCAGGGGACTTGCCGCTCTAACCCGCGGTGCCAGGCTGCTGTAGTGGAGGTAGAGCGGTGTCAGGATGAGGCACCGGGCTCATTTACTACGACAACAAGGGACGACTGGCACGCTCTTCATCAACAAAGCCCACATTTGATTTATTCGCACCGGGACGTCTTGTGTGATTCGCAACTATTGTGACGGAGACACTCGTATGCTAATGAGCTGCCATATTTTGGGTGTGAATTATAAAAAGAAAAGAAAAAAGGAGAGGGGGGGGGGAAAGTAAAGTCAGCTTTTCTATCATTTTTTCACATCAAAGTAACTCCACAAGTGCCGTTGCCTCAGGTCTGACTCTGTGGCTTCAGGGCAGACATGAAATTGTTATTATTATGCTTATTGAACTGCATGCTGATTCTACACTTTACTTATAATTAGCCTTCTCTGGATTCCTGATTCTCGTCTGGCTGCTTGAGAGAGAGAGCGAGAGAGAGAGGAGTGCTCTGGTTTTCGAGAAGCAGCGTCCTGTCAACCAGCAGCACATCGGCACATGTGGAAAACACATGTTGTTACACAGCGAACTGCGCTGATGAACTTGTATTTGGAACAGCGTGAGCCAAAGCATCATGGTAACACCGTTTTTGTTGTTGTTGCACATGTTACTTTATTGCTTATTGCCTGAGAGAGAGGCTGCTACTGTATGGACTGTAACAGTTAGTGCGCATGAAACATGCGTTTGAGAGAATAAAGTTCTTAAACAGCATAAGAAAATAGATTTTACTCATTTTGTGCTTGCATAAAGCTTATGGACATAATTATGGTAGTGAGAGTTTGTGAGCTCCATCCGCCTAGAGACACAAGCAGAGGGGCAGAGGGAGAAGCAGGCTGCCTTTAGGCCAGCACACCCATCCTGTCTCTGCCTTTCCTGTTCCACAGCCACGCTCAGAGCTATGTTCACAGTGATTAGGGATGGCACTTTCCTCCATTTGGCCAGGAGCTCATTACTGCACCTTTCTTATTTTTCGTTTTCAGGCAGAATTTACCCCAAGCTCAGACATTTCAGGAGGCCATCCCCGAGTCGGTGGTCTGCACCCCCCACATCTGGAAACGATGCAGCATGTGCCGTGTTATTTTAGGCTTCAAACAACTTAGCAGACACTCCTATACAACAAGCGAACGGAGGAGGGGGGTGGGGGGGGGGTGGAGCTGCGGTTTCCCGGCCGACCGCAACTTTCCTACATGAGAATCTTGGGATGATGTCCTCCAGACTAATTACCCTTTTGTGTTGTTTTCTCTTTCAGCGGCTCAGAGGCGTTCCAGCTCCGCGTCGCGGCCAACAGCTCTGTTGCTCCGCGTTCTGGCATTTTGTAAATATTTTAACAAATTGGAACGCTGATTACGGCGTGACTCGGGACAGACAGCGGGACACACGGAGGAGAGTTCATAAACTCGCTGCTGAAATAACAAGAGGGGCTCCGGCCCTTTTTCTTCCTTGGAAAATAAAAGGTGGAGTTTCCTTTTTTCTGCAGGGAGGCCAGCCACAGCTCTGGCCGTGACCCCACTCACCACTCCAAATGTGATCCCTCTTCACTTTATTTATTGTCCTCATTGTTTCCGTTTCATCTCATGCCATGCGGTGGGTCATTTGAAGAGCATTTTGGGTGGGCTAAAATCTATTTAGGGTGTATTGCTGTGTCAGTGGAGTGAGACTCTGTTCTCACACAGACCGCGGTGGTGGAGATAGAAAGCGTGGTGTTGCCACTCACATAGCTGGCAGGGGCGAGCGTCCCGGGCTGCTGTCACTGCCGTTGCTGTTTCCATGGTCCATCGCTCCGTTCATCTCCTCGCGGATGGCGTTGGCCAGGGAGTGGAGGGTGGGACTTCCAATGGAAGCAGTAGTGTATAGAGGTATGTTGTTTTCTGCCATTGAAGCCTGAAAAGCAAAGCCCGAAGCGTTAAAGGTGAAACGGAAGGGGGTTGTCAGCACTTTCTCAGTTCCCCATCACTCCTTTCACACCCCCTTAAAAACAAAGAGGAGGTGACCGGGCATGTGAGACGGAGAGAGACTTTTATTATTCTTCTTTTTAAAGTTCAGAGTGAGGCAGCTAAGGATGAGGTCACTTTCTTGTTTTTTGTTTTTTTTTCGTTACCTGGAAGGCAGCAGAGAGGGTCGGACCATAGCCCAAGCTGGTCTGAATGTTCTTCACTAAGGCTGGACTTCTGCGAACACAACAAAATCCAATTACAACCACAGACTCGTGTCTCAGCGCGCATGCATTCCTCAGCTGCCGTATCATATTTCATAAAAAGAAATCAATGCACTTTGTATCAGAACTAAATACATTTACTGGTGTAGTAATGTGGCTATAGTTCTAAGATGTTCAATCACTTGACAATACCACACAACTATCTTTGAGAGGAAAGATGATGATGGAGGCTTGTGAGAGCGTGATGCATGAAGCTCAACACAAAAAAGCATGATGGCAACACTGAAGGTGGGGGGGGGG